AACTGAGATGGAATGTTTGCTATAAATGGGAAATATTTTGTACGGTACAAGGTTGATGTACCCTCAGAATCCTGGTGTCCATCTATACCATTGCTTTGGAATCAAGGCTTTCTAACTTCCCAAGGTGAACCCTCCCACCCAACCGACCCGGTTTAAGGACCAAGGATTCTCTTTCATCCCCTCGGTCTTGTAAACACCACCCTAACCACGAAAACAGTAATAAAAAAGAAATACCGAGAAGCAACTAATGCCTTAACTATAAACCACTGTTTGAATCTAATTGTTCACCCAAACATATCACTCGTGAGACTTTAGATTCGTAAAATGAGTGGATTCACTATCATCACAAACTAATATCATCTGAAGAACCACTGAAAACTCAAAAGTCTTAGGGAGCAGTTTCATGATCTCTAACCGCACGACCACACACGACATTGAACAAGGGTGTTCAGAACTCACATTGACTAATATACATTTGAAACATGGATTTGGATTGCAATGATCCCTATTTTCAACTTAAGTCTATTTTCAATGTGACATGATTCTTATCCAGTATCGTAGAAAAATTACTGTCGAATTCTGGATGAAGTTGACTCAGCAGGTCACAACTATACAGTCAAACCTCAGGAATAGCTCGTAAAATCCTTGGATTGAAAGGGGTCATGAATGTCAATGACCAAGTTATGTTCCACTAATTTAAAGCAAAAGGAACCCATGAAAAAGAATATTCCTATTGTTAACATATTAAAATTATCTAAGTCGAAAAACGCCTAAAATGGAGTAACAGAATAGAATCCAAGTAAGTAATATTAATAAATTATATTGGGATACAATACTAGTCGACAAATAGCTTAACATTAATAGCGTTGGATGATGGCTCAGCGGTCTGGGTTCGAGTTCCATATGTGGAATCGTGGATCGCATTGCTGAGGAGTTCCACACTAGAATGAAAGGGCCGTCCAGTGATCCCAGGTTTCCAATGTTGGTCTAGCTTAGATTGACTCGTGAACTCGATTGTTAAAATAAAAATATTGTTTAAATATTTCATCACAATAACCGGCAGTAAGAATTAGTGAAACATTAATTAAATCATCATTCGTTCATTAAATCCACATTGAAATATTTTGATACTCTGAAAAATGTCATTTATCCGAGTACGAAACTGACCATTCATACGATTAAAAGAATTATTCCATGTTTACATCAGTTTGTGAAGAAAATCTACAATTATCGGAAATCATTATTTTATTAAAGTAGTGGAATCAAGGACCCATATCTCCTCCCATTCGAAATCAATTGGCTGAGTTTACTTATATCCAAGTGCAGTTATTTACATTGAAATTCAAAGCATCACTCTTCTCTCAATACCAGGAAAAGACTTCAACAGGGTATTGTGAAACAGAATGAAGGGCTGCGTAAACACCCAACTATGCGACCGATAGGCAGGATTCCGTAAGGATAGATCGTGTACAGACCAAATCGCAACTCTACGGATAATTGTGGAACAATCAATTGAATGGAATTCATCACTCTACATCAACTTCATTGACTACGAAAAGGCATTTGATAGCGTGGACAGAACAACACTATGGAAACTTCTTCGACACTACGGCGTGCCTCAGAAGATAGTCAATATCATACGAATTCCTATGATGGATTATACTGCAAAATTGTGCATGGAGGACAGTTGACAAAGTCGTTCGAAGTAAAGACCGGTGTCAGGTAAGGTTGCTTACTCTCACCCTTTCTCTTTATCCTGGTGATCGACTGGATCATGAAGACGTCAACGTCTGAAGGAAAACACGGGATACAATGGACATCTAAGATGCAGTTGGACGATCTAGACTTCGCAGATGATCTGGCCTTTTTATCGCAAACGCAACAACAAATGCAGGAGAAGACGAACAGTGTAGCAGCAGTCTCACCAGCAGTAGGTCTCAATATACACAAAGGGAAAAGCAAGATTCTCCTATACAACACAGTATGCAACAGTCCAATCACAATTGACGGAGAAGATTTGTAAGGTGTAAAAACCTTTACGTGTTTGGGCAGCATCATTGATGAACAGGGTGGATCTGATGCAAATGTGAAGGCGCGGATCGACAAAGCAAGAGCAGCATATCTACAACTGAAGAAAATCTGGAACTCAAAACAACTGTCGACCAACACCAAAGTCGGAATTTTCAATACAAATGTCAAGACAGTTCTACCGTATGGAGTGGAAACCTGGAGAACCACGAAAGCCATCATCCAGAAGATACAGGTGTTGATTAACAGTTGTCTACACAAATTACTTCAGATCCGTTGGCCAGACACCATCAGCAACAACGTACTGTTGGAGAGAATAAACTAGATTTGATCGGAGGAAGAAATCAGGAAGAAGTGCTGGAAGTGGATAGGACACACATTGAGGAAAGCAACCAACTGCGTCACATGGCAGTTCCTCACATGGAAGATCAAAGAACACATTACGTCGAGAAATGGAGACAGACATGAGAAAAATGAACAAAAAATTGGATAGGACTGGAAAGAAAGGCCTAGGACAGAGTGGATTGGAGAATGCTGTTCGGCGGCCTATGCTCCATTGGGAGTAACAGGTGTAAGTAAGTAAGTTTAGTTATTTACATTGAAATTCAAAGCCAATATGCTTCGCTTGAAATACTTTTGCGTTATTCCCTAAGCTACTGAATCCAAATAGCCAATAGCATTTTCAACTGGTATGAATTTATTTGTATGGAGTTGTATTTTCTAATTAGAAATCATAAGTTTATTGTTTACACTTCTTAGTTATTATCTTTTACTACTTAATACAGTATTCACTATTGTTATTTCTATAGGGTTTTTACTCTGTATTAGATTAACTTAATCTTTTCTATAGTATCAATTAAATAATTGTACTCATTATTTCATTTGAAACTCTATCATGGTTTGTAACTTTTTTTAATCTTTTTTTTTGTTTACACCCAAGTTACTATTTCATTTCTTAATTATCATATTGTTTCCATTCTTATTTAAGAAGTTTATAGCTGATGAGAAAAGAAAAATAACAAAATATAATCAATTTGTATTTTTCTTTATCCATTTATAAATCAATAATCAACAGTAAATATGGTATCGAAATAAAAAAAGAAAGCAAACAGTGGTGAATCAAATAACGATCTCTTCATGATGTTGTCATGTCGACTATACAGGACACTATTTACGATTTTTTGTATAGACAGAAAGTTGCTAATGTGTGCTTTAGATGGTGGTTGGAGGTAGTCGACAGGAAACCCTGAACCCGAGTTTCGTGCTACTTGGCACTCGTCAGCATGGTGTACCTGTAATGTTGAGGGAACTGATGCTCCCTTGCGTACTCGATCTCGTGTCACCCAGCTTCACAGTCAGAGACGTTACCACTGAGCTATCCGAGCCGCGACCGACCTCCTGTAGAACTGAGATGTAATCACAATTGATTGATCACTGGGTGGTGATCAATGTCATGTGTGTCTAGTCCTTATTAGTGCAGATCGAATGCTATCGATCATGTTGCAATGTGGCCACCAGTCTAGGTAACTCGACACTGCGGACACTATATATTAAGATTGGATTAATGTGTGCTTTAAAATATCTTCTTTATAATGAGATTAACTTGAAATTTATGATTATTTGATTTTTATCAATATTGAAATCAACTTAATGTAATCCCATTTAAATGTAGATAATTAAAATAAAAGGCATTGTCCAAGTAAACATTTTTCACATTTCTAATGTTTACAGGTGATAGTGCGGTGTGTGCTATACTTATGTTGACAGATATAAATAATATATGTAACACCAATCGAAAGTGAAAAACCTGGCAGCAGAAGGTTAAGAAGATTGAATCGAAGAGAATGGGAACAGAGATGAATGGGTCTGAAAATGAACAGACAATAAAGTCTGAGACAATTAATGGACATTTTACAAATGAATGATTGAATTTTAGCAAATAACTCTGAAATTCTTCAAAAAATAATAATAATAAATTTGGTCTTCCCCACCTATGTTTTCATTCATTATAATAGTACCAATAAATACCTAAGAAACATATAATGTGATATCACTCTATGAACCACAGAACTTTATAAACAACAACTGATCCATCTCAAATGGATATATGAGTAAATGTAGTTTTGACACTCTACATAATGTAGTGTATTTAATAAAGCAATTTCTATCACGTTTACAATTACGTGTCAGTGTGTTTTAGTCATAATGCAATGTAAATGTACTAACATCTATTTTAAAATATGTATATACATATATCTTAAGAAGGTGCAATGATTCTACTCAGTAAATCAATTACATTTGTTAGTTATATTAGTTTAATCTTACGATGTATGTATGGTGTTGATTTACTAAGTTATTCATTAATTAGTAACAAATTGTACTCTGTTTTAATTGATTTAAAATCCAACTATCAATCAGTATCAATGAAAGATGAGTCTATTTAAAGAAAAACATTATTGATCAATTTTTAATGTTGAATAAGTTTTCATTTATTATCTCTGCTTTCCTGTTGCATCTAAATGTGTCAGTTTTTGTTGAGTTATAATAAGATGGTTATCATTAAGACAAAACTTCTTCATATATTGTGATAACATATAAGTAAATTAGTCAATACCTTAGTATGGGTTATATAAATCACAAAAGGCTTGTTTATTTAAAGTTCAAGCACAAAACTTTTTATTTGATCCATGGATCTACTGTCCTGTTTTTGGAACACATAGTTTCACTATCCTTTTTATTTATTAAATCAGTGGTATTATTATTATCATTAATTTAAATTAGGATCACTTTGTCCTGTCTCAGAAACCTAAAACAATTTTTAATTACTCATATTACAAACATTCCGTTAACCAGGTCTGTTGTGAGATATCAACTCACTGATGATAATGGTGTACGGTGGTGCAACTTCGTTGATTGGTTGAAGTTAGACATTAACACCGTTGGATGCCGGCTCAGTGGTCTAGAGGTTAGGCGCCTGGCGCGAGACTGATAGGTCCTGGGTTCGGATCTCGCGGGGTGCGGGATCGTGGGTGCGCACTACTGAGGAATCGCATACTAGGACGAAACGGCCGTCCAGTGCTTCCAGGATTTCCATGGTGGTCTAGCTTCAAATAACTCATGATTTCAACCAGTTGAATTGTCATAAATCAATCAAACTCTTGTTGACGAGTAAAATCTTTTTATACAACTGATATAAAGAGAAATATAATTACTTTTTATCAAGAATATTTATTCCTAATCACTTTTTCAATTTATCTATCATCCATTGTTTCATAGCCTCATTAAAATGTAGAGATGTTACGAATCACAAAATTATTCCTGGTAAGGCTTTAGGATTAGGGTTGATTTGTATGTTATATACAGTTTACGTAGAAAAACTTGAACATTCTATACATATAAAGCTATTATTTTTTACTCTGTGATCATAAAAAATTCATATTATAACTATTCTAGAGTTATTGCCAGTTTCAAGCCCACACAAAGGAGGAGGGTTGAGCATGAGGTCAGTAACCCCATCCTGTAGAAAATAAACTTAAAAAAAACACTAACCAGAACAAAAAATTAAACCATTTCAACTTTGTCCTCCGAGTTGAAGGATCTTCATTCAGAACAATTATGATGGCTCATAGTGAAAACCGAAATTCTTAGGAAGTCACGAAACCAATCAGAACAACAATTAACATAGTTACACGGAATGTCTGCACAAAGTGGGAGACTGGGAAGCGTAATCAAATAGCTACAGAAATGAGGAGATACAATTTGACTGTGTACGGAACCAGTGAAACCCATTGAACCCACTACATGAACTTATTTCTTGATCTAAGATAAAAGTCACTCATTTTTGAATTTTGTACAAAAATTCCGAATTTGTTTGGATTCTGATTAGCTTATCTCTTTACCCTAGATAGTTGTTAAGATATCAAAAGTTTACATTACTTTAACTTTAGAGCTTCGTAATTTCCTCCAAGTTTGGCATATTACTGATTATGGTTTTTCGTTGACCAGTTTTAATTTGGTCGATTTTAGTATAATTATGCAATTGTCATTTATTTTATGTTTTATGTTGTCTAGAAATTGAATTAGATAGTTGAAATTTTCTAAAAGGTAAATGAACCAGAAAATCAAAATATCGATCATGGATATCAATAAACAGTTAAAATCTAATAACACGAATCTAGAGAGTAAACTTTAGGGACTTGGACTTGAGACACTTTAAGGGAAAACATTCTGAACAAAAATAGGTTGAGACTATTCACAATGCTCACAATGTTCAGCAAGTGTGCAGTATCTAGCACTTTTGGAAATTTTTCTGTCCATTGAATAGGTAGGTGCTAGATGTTGGATTGTAATTTTCACCAAAGGTTTCATTTTATGATCTGAATGTATCCTTAACTGCGTGTAATAAACGTATCATTGTAGCCTAGATCAATATGACAGATGAATAACACAGACATAGTGCGCACACATCTACTAAATGAACAGAAAAATGACCAAAAGTGATGGATGCTTCACAATCAATTCCTTACTAATTATGATCCACATATAAATTGACCAATACTGTTTTATTTTAAACGCTCATCACTTTGACTCGGCCTGACCTTGATTTGGTCATCCTTTAGCTAGTAATGGATAAAAGTTGCACCATTTTTACAAGTATGATTTTTTTTCCTGATTATCAATTTGTTTGCACTTCCCACTTCTGGTTGGTATCATTCTTTGACCAACTATATTTACTCCATATTTGTGCGAATTAAATTTTATGTTTCCGAAGTATAAAGTATTTAAGACCAAGTTTTACATCTTTTAACTATAACTGTTACTTCCAAACTCTGTGTTCAACAATATTATATAACGTGCTGGAAAAAGATACCATTAGGTAAAATAAATCTTACAGTTCATGTATCAATGAAAAAAGAGAGTGAGGACAAGAAGAATTGTCTAACAACTAGATGAAAGTATTTGTTCTGAATAATAACAGAAATGATTCATCTGGTAACTAAATTTTCACTGGAAAAAATCGGTCCAATTTAATCTTATCATGATAAGAAAATTGGTTGAATTAAAGAAAACTTGTTTTACTTAGGAAGCGTGTTGTGACGACATATTTTAAGTCGAAATCGGAACATCAGATACCAAATCAATAATACTTATATTACTTACAAAACTAACCTACCCATCTCACTTCTGAGTATCCACTGAGACACTGTGATAATCAGAAGTAACTGAATTCATTATTCTAACTAGAAATTCCCAGGACTATCCAATTCGTACCCTAACACTTATTTATAAACCAGTATACAAATCAAATATAGCTTCTTGAGCACAATCAGTTGTATTGTATTTGTAATTTAGACCATATGCGTAAACGTGTATAAATGAATTAAAAACCCATAAAAATATCACAGATACTAATGGTTATTATTTATTAACTTATTATGTTTAAAAGCAATGTATTGCTTGTTAGTTTTTTCTGTGCATAAACGGTCTTATGTACGTAACAATTATAAAGAAGTGTAACAAAATGGGACATTTTATTTTTTAGACAGATATCTTCAAATTTCTGATTTCGCAAAACTAAGTTCCAACCACTTGTTTTAATGATAACTTAATCTAGAGAAATAGGGTTTGTTATGAGCAATAGGTATTGTTATCTATCCTTTGGTTGAGATCATCAATCTATGAATTTTAAACCACTATTGAAAATCTGGAAGCACTGGACGGCCGTTTCGTCCTAGTATGGGACGCCTCAATAGTGCGCATCGACGATTTCACACGCAAGATGCGGACCTAGGACCTTCGGTCTCGCGAGTGAACGCTTAACCTCTAGATAACTGAACCGACATCCTATGTTGTTAATATCTAACTCTAACCAATCCACGAAATTATGCTTCCATCTTCTATTGTCTGAGGTAGACACTTATCTCTACCTGATACAGATTAGCTCCACTGGTCACAGCTCCTCACTAAAACTCTGAGAATTACCTCTCAAAGTTAGTCATTAGTGAACGCATAGTAATTATCAGTATGAAGTTGTGAAGATTGTTGAGTTTTCAATCGTGGTCTAACATTCATCGATTCATGATCTCAAGAACCTCTACAACTCCATATTGATAATTACCTCTCTACCTCTTTAAAAAAAGTTCTGTGTATCACTATTATTGGTTAAAGTTTTTTATAAAATTGACGATAGGAACTTTATCGATAATCATACATCATCTATATGATTAATTTAGATTGGATACTTTATTTTATCATTTCAAGTGTATTTTATGAATATTTGAAATAATGTCAATCAGTAAATCTTAACCTATCTCTCTTCTTATATATTTATGTAATGTACTTTCATAAAATAATTCTGGAAACAAATCATATGACTATGTACTTATATCTATATATATATATAGAAGTGTTTAAAAAAATGGATACCAATTTATTAGGCTATTAACCATGTACTTTAAGTAATTCAACAGACCAGTAACATATATAATTGTGATAGAGCTTATATTAATTAATCCTTTATATTGTCAACATGTGTCTACATTCATATCATCAACTAATCATATGATTTTGTAACTATGATCAATATTATTAAACGCGTGACAGAAATCATTTCTCAAAAATGTTTATATATGATGAAATAATTAATATTCACAAAGAGAAAAAAATAATAAAAAAAAGAATCGATTATTGATTAAGTAAATATAGGAATACTTTTTTTTCTAAAGAAAAAACAAACAAACAAACAAATAGTACAACAATTGTTACTAAGTCAGATTAGAAAAAAAAGGAATGAATGAAGATAGACATTATAATTAAGGAATTAGGCGAAAAGTGTAAGGTCATTATTAGTACATTTATATATAGATTGGGATCAATAAATGATTTTGAACATCTAAATATATAAGAAGATAAGAATTAAAGTTCAAAGGATTGAATAAATAATAAAAAAATTTTTATAAATAGGAAAAATTGTATAAAAGTTCAAAAACTTTATTGATTTTTTGTTGTTGTTGTTGTTATTATTGATCAAATCAAAAAATCTATATAACTTAGTACATAAAGAGAACCGGAAGAATTTCGCCAAAAGGCAGGCTTCCACTCGACTTACTTACTTACTTACTTACACCTGTTACTCCCAATGGAGCATAGGCCGCTGACCAGCATTCTCCAACCGACTCTATCCTGGGCCTTCTTTTCTAATTCCATCTAATTCTTGATCATTTTTCTCATGTCTATCTCCGTTTCCCGGCGTAATGTGTTCTTTGGTCTTCCTCTTTTCCTTTGACCTTAAGGATTCCATGTGAGGGCTTGTCTTGTACCGCAGTTCGGTGCTTTCCTCAATGTGTGTCCTATCCACTTCCAGCGCTTCTTCCTGATTTCTTCCTCCACTGGGATCTGGTTTGTTCTCTCCCACAGTACGTTGTTGCTAATAGTGTCCGGCCAATGGATCTGAAGTATTTTGCGTAGACAATTGTTAATAAACACCTCGAGAACAACTATGTTTTCTCCATGAGTGTATTCGCCAGCATGTTCTACCAATAAGTGTAAGATATAGACCTCCAATCAACTGCCCATTAGGATGGAAAATAGCTGAGCAAAGTGGAAGAAAAATGGTACACCTAATGATAACGGATGCACACTACAGAATCCGCAAATACCAACACATCATAGAAGACCAAAAGATAAAGCTACTACTATGGTAGTGAACAGAACACGGGCGGGGACAACCGAATTGTTTATGGAACGAAATTACACAGTTACTCGATAAAATAGAAAAACAATATAGCAAATCGTCAATTTGCAAAATATCAATCTATCATATCAACCTGGACTGTTCCTGTTGCTAAAATCAAACCATTGTCCCAGATTTAATTGTTCATGAGTTTTCTTAGAAATTGCGTTGTGTTCCCGCTCTTCCTTTCTTGATCTTCTCCCATCTTATGCTGCCAGACATTACTTTTTTAACTCGCGTCATATGCTACTTACATCAGTATGAGTAGCACGCACTACACTATGAGTTTGTGAGATAATCATAATATACGATTTAAGATCAAAGCTAATATGGAGCGAAATCAGTCACAGTAACCAACGTTTTTCTAGCTTCTCTATAAGTATATGACTATGGGATTTATTCTAACTTCGGGACAAATAAATTAATTTAGTCTTTTTGAGTCATTATGTACACATAGTTGCTATCTTCAATTTGTTCACTATTATTATTATTATTATTAATAATAACTAGTGACATTGATTGTTTTCACATCAGTTCATGCATCAGTATGTTTATTTATTACTCACTCTATTGATCACATGTCTTTAGTCTGTCTCTTTCTGTCTGACTCTAAATGTTCAGTTGCGTTTGATAAAAATGAGTAGGTTGGGAAGAGTTTCGCCCTGTTTCACCTCTTCCAGTTTTTTGAGTAAACAAATGTCTGAAATGAATTCTTCCATCTCGCTTCGTATTTGGCTTTTATTACCACCGTTTCTCAACGGGATTAGCTTAGTTATTTACATTTCATGGTTTATTTATTATCATTCATAATGGAGTCAATACACTACCATAAGATGCCTTCATTCGTTCTCTTTC